CCGGGCTCATACACCTACCGTATGTCCTCTCTTCGTGGATGCTGTCGCATCGCTTGTCCCTCCCTGGAGGCCTGAAGGTTATCAGAAAAACTCAACTTGCACATCCCTCCCTCGTCATTTGTAATCTGATGGGTCTGTGTCACCGATAGATCGACGGTGCAGACGAGGGAAGCTTGTAAATCACTGCCTGGATGGCCCATGATCATCCGACCGGGGGGGCTCACCTCACTCACTCAAGTCTTACATAACCAAGGGAATTGTGAAATCCGGGGAGCAGTTGAAAGGAATGTATTGCGCACGCACATGTCTGAGGAACACGCGGAAGGCTGTAGGCATGACTCGGGTGAGTGCACCCTGTACATGTCCCAACGGCTTCTTACAGGTCAATACATTGATTGAAATGATTGCCCCAGATCATATGTTGTAAGTCGATCCCACCCTCCATGTAGCAGGTACTGTACAGTACTTTATGAGGAGGTGTGGCACATGCATCGGCTGAGCTGAGTTGACTCGGGTTGAGCTGAGAGAGAAAGGGTTCGTGGGTCTCAGCTGCACAGCGATCGACCCGTGCTTTTTCACAGGTTCAGCGGAGTGAGTGGACTAACTGACTGACTGTACACTCAGCTCAGCCTAGCTGTAGTCTACTGCCACCCCCCTGCCCCCGGATACGATCCCGTCACTCCCTTCCAATAGCCGCCCGGATCTCAATGTTGCCATCGGTCGGCATTTCAATATCAGTGCGACAGGGAAAGGTCGGGTGCAGCAGGGTCTGAGCTGAACCGCATGGGCGTTACTGTATGATTGTTTGTATGATATCGATCACAATATCCCGGGCCCGGTCAAGAAATGCGGGGTAGGAAACATTACGGGAAATTTCCTGCCCCAAAATAGCAAAGAATTCGGACGGAATACGATCGATGGCTGAGTCCTCGGAGGTGTCTACCGGTCAGGATGGTCAGCAATAATGCAAACTAGTGATATGGCGATAGTTCGAACCTGTCCCTCTGGCACCGGTCATTGGTGCGCGATATCAAAGGCAGGATGATGACCGAACCACGAATGGGATCCCTGATCAATGGGTGCTGCAGGCTAAAAGCTCCCTTTCTGGGCTGTACAGGTTCAGCCACGGTATGAAAAGGCTATTATTGATCATTGCATTCGAAGGTTGGTTTGGGGGGGATCGGGTGCTACATTCGCGTGCTGGCACAAAAAAAAAAAAAAAAAACAGATGATCCCAGTCTGCAGTCGCATCATACCATCACCGGTTGTTCCAAGCATCTTGCTTTTTTCAATCTTCTGGTTGCTTCTCTTCGTTCCGTCTTTCTCGTCGCTGTGCAGTTGAAGCTACTCGAGTAGCTTGCAGGAAGTCGCCCCTCAAACAAGATTTCTGCCATCCTCAACCATGGCAGAATTGCAGCGACGGCGTGTGATGTATACATACTTCTCCCGCCAGCGCGATAGCCGCTTATCAAGCTCTCTTTTTTCTGGTCTGATAACGGACGGAGTCAGTCGGCGTACAGAAAGAAGAGTACTACTGTACAGTATGGCAAGCCTTCACAGCGACATGATGACGACGGGGAAATATAGAAGTCAAAGCCATGATTATTATTATGCCGTCCGTCCGTCTTCTGCGCTCTTATGCTGCTTTCCTAAAGCGGCGGGATGCGTCAAGAGTGAGCCTTAATTCCTCTCTATGAAGTGAGTCTGTGAGTCAAGTTGGTTCAGTTGCGCCCATGTATCATCCACATTCTGCCTAGCGCATGCAGATCAAGCCTCGGTGATTCCCTTCTTCCAGTTCCTCTTTCTCTTCGCAAGGTCCGCGAGTGTACTATAGTACGTATGTGCTGCATTGAAGTCTCTCGGTTTGCAACCTATGACCGTTGACTTATCCTTGGCATTGTCGCTCCGTGCAGTTTTGTCAGTAGCTGGGGGAGGAGCAGCCAAAGAAAATTTTTTTATTGTCTAGTACTAGCAAACGGGATGCACGGTCAACTCTGATTGGCACCAGAATTGCGCCTCGTCGAGCGAAATGCTGATCATTGATGGCGGGATGATTCGAGCGGTTGACAAAACAATAGGTGGAGAACCCGCCATTTGAGTCGTCAGATCTCCCTCCAAAAGAGCCAAATGTTCTCCACCTTTCGGTCTCCCACAACCGGGTCCGGCCTTTTTTTCTGTTTTCTGCCATCAAAGACTACTAGACTTACAGCCCTGAGCCTGTAGAATACGTACAGTACTCAGCAGTATCCATCTACTACCACTCCAGTCAATCCCAGGACTCTGGTCGCCAGGGTTTTTAGCGCCCTGCGGTTTAAAGAAAGAATGAAGCGTTTTCTCTGTGGACATTGGACAAAGACCAGACCTGAAGATGTCATAATGGGTCGGTCAGGTGCGCCCTGTCCTGATTCAACGGTGATTGGCACGATGGGACTACATCGGAGCTTCCACCCTCAACTACCTAGTAGGCTCCGAGGACTCCCATTCCAATCCGCTCTACAAGTATTTTGTATGTCTTGTTTCGGACATGTTTCCAACATTCCTGTATCAGGCAGTGAGTGGGCGGGAATTTGCCCATTGCCAAACCCATCGCCCATCGCCCATCGCCAAGAGGTCGAAAAAACTCTCTTGTTTCTATCTCTCTCCGCAAATGTAGTGAGACAGGCTTCAAGCAGGGATTGTCGGAAACAAGGCATAGGGGCTGGGGCCGGAGGTCCTTGGGAGGACCTCCTCGCATAACATCAAACCCTTTCTGCTAATGTGGGTGTGTGTGTGTATGTACAACTTGTGTTTCTACCACGGTACTCCTAGCATGCTACACAACGCATGGAACAGGGCCGGACCTTCTCTCACCGATTCCATTTGACTGGGAAACATCGCTGTTGTTTTTGTTGTGGTTTCACCAGGCTACGGACTCTCACGAATTTGGTCATGACGTTGGACCGAAGAACAAAAAAAAAAAAAAGAGAGTCGCTGGGCGAATGACAGTTGCTTTGTGTTTGGCTTCGTAATAACGGTGTAGATGTGTACAGTACTGTAGTATCCATAGGACAAAATGGTGAGCAAATCACAAAGCGCACTCCCTCCGGAAGGATACCGGCTCTGGTAAACAAACGCCTTGGAGAGGCAAGGCATGAAGAGGGAATCCTCCAATGCGCCTATTGTCCTCCCGAGAACAGGCGATTGGGGAAGAGATTCCAGAGAGGTGGTATCGTGTCCAATTCATCGTCATTATCATTGTGAAGACTGGGCGACCGGCATTTGCGAAATGGATCCAGCCAGCCTCAATCCCCTTCCATGGTCTACATACGTGGGGATAAGTGAGGCAGAACTAGAGAGAGAGAGAGCGGTCACGGACCATCATTCAAGCAGTGTCCCCCCCCCCTCCATGGACGTCATTGAATATCGAAGATTCGACACTAGAATACCCCTCGTTGCGATCGAGCATATGGAGGATCGCCGAGAACGTGGGCCATGGAATGAGGGCAACTGACAATGACAATGACAATGACAATGACACAACCCATTGGAAAGGGGGGCGGGCGGGCGTAGGAATTATGGACCAAATGATGTTATCACTGACACTGAGACCGAGAAAGTGGAAACCACTGGAGCCAGAAGACAGACAAAAAAAAAGAATGTGGTGTGATATTCGGGAATAGCGTCAACAAGAAAGCGGTGTGACAGCGGGAAATGCGACTTGCGATCCATAACAACCGCGTTGTTGAGCAAATGAAACGAGTTGCCGAAGGGATTTTAAGGTTTGGTCATCGAGATAACCACACAGCAAAGCAAAGCACATCATCAGATTGTCGAACAGGCCGTTGTGCACGGCGCACCTGTTGATCCCCCGTGCAATGGGATAGAAAGTTACGGGTTGATAGACAGGGAATGTATTAGATTAGATTGTGAGATTTGAGAAACCAAGGGGAGCGGAGAAGAGGAGGATGGGGGTCAACTGCTCTCGGCATGACGGGTGACCCGATCATTTTTACGAAGCCCGTCCGAGTGGGCTGCAGTCACTTGATGCTTAGAGATGAGAAACCCTCCTGATGAGCCTAGGGTTCCACTTGAGCCTCCGAAGAATGTCAACCCGTCAGTGCGAGATAACAGAGTAGGATTTCGTGATTCTCCTGCTGACACACACACACACACACACACACACACACACACACTGCACACAGAGGGCGGAGATGGAGGAGGGATAGAGGGGGGGAAGAGGGTGGAAATAAACATAACTTTAAGAGAGAATCTCGTACAACCATTCAATCACCTTATTGTCCTCGGAACAAGCGATGCCTCCTTCCGAGTTTCAGCTAAAGAACCGATGCATGTAGCGAGATGCAGTAATTAGCCCATATATGCGGTCGGCAAGAGATTTCCACACAATTGTTGAGATGTGTTCAAATCAATCTTCCCACCCATACAGATGATCGAGAAGCCAATCCCAAGTAATCATAACCTCGATGCCGCTAACGTACTAGGATAGTGTGTATGGTCATTTCTTGTACACACTAGGTACCTACGTACCTTAGGTAAGATCCTAGTTCCACTGGCAGTCACTAGACTAGAGCGCCTCAACTTCTCAAGCGTCCGTTCAATTAACTGCATTGGGAAAGCCATGATGTTATTTTGGCCCTCTCCCAGATTGCCCATATCCATCCGTATGCCGGGTCTTCTTACTTCCTTAGTGTCAGACTGCCTGTGATCCTCTTAGGCTCTTACAACTTACAAGTGACCGAGCAGGGATTGATACTCTAGAGCCGGGTCGAGTCAAGCGTCATGCACGGTGGCTGAAGGGCAAAGGCTGATTCGCCCGAGAGCGTTATACTCGGAAGTCCGCCAGGGCGCTATCAGCTGCACAGTTGGGGGCTCGCTACCAATCACGGGATGTTTTGACACCGACGGTCCAGTTGCTCGTCCCGCTGGTGCGCCAGTTGCATTTTCATTTCCATAATTATACTCAACTTAGAACTGGTATGGTTTTACATACCCCCGAGCCTGCAGCATACTGGAGCCAACCCCCTCCTTCTTCCTCTCCGCCCTCCTTTTTAATGGAAGAAGCGAAGTACAGTACTATATGTGGAAGGGAAGAAGAAAAAAAAAAAGAAATCGGACCATTTACACTGACTTACATTAGTCTGTTCGCTTCACAAGAGACGACGGAGTAAAAAGGATCAACATGGTGTGTGCGTCGGCGCTTCCATTGCCCTTCTTCGTCGTTATTCGCTGCGAATCACGATCATTACGCCTGCATATTAAAAAAGTCTTCTCTGTACGGAGCACTGCACCAGCCAAGTTCAAGTTCAAGTTCAAGGGTCGGGCGATCGGGAAACCCGCTTCTCATGGACACAGTCGGAAAGATGCTCCACTTTTTTTCTTCCTTGACCCAAAAAAAGCCCCAGTTGAAAAAGAATGGATAGCGATATGGTGGTAAAAGAAAATAGTTTCTAGTTTTCCACGACGTACGCCATGATCTGTCCCTGGAGTATGGAATTGTGTTTGTTGATGCTGAAACCAACAATGCCTCAGCCATGAAGTCACTGAAGGAGAAACTTTCCTCATCCGATGGTACGCCCAGAGGCACCAGTGGAATTTCTCGCCAATCTGTGGTATCTCTTCTATCACGTTCGGATCAACTTGAATATTCGGCCGTCCCTCCCCCGCTAGATAGAGTTTCTGGAGAAGGCTACCAGCCATTCGAGGTATGGAAAATTGAGTCCAAACATGTGGTTATTTACAACCTACAATCCAGGAGCCTTGTTCCTATGGGCTAGATAGCTATCATGGGCCATTATGTATAGATGATATGAACTCTGTTCTCCTGGTCGGGAGAGAGAGGAGAAAGAGGAGAAACATGAGAAAGGGCGGAAGCCACTCGAAGTCTGCAATCTGTAACAAATCATCGAAATAATGAATTGCCCTCCCAAGACCAAAGTCGCCACCGGGTTATCGTTGTCTTTGAAGATATGTGCCAGGAGGGTGGTCAAAAAGTCGGTTGAGGGAGCGAGTAGCGTATCAAAGAGAAAGAAACAACCGATTCTTTTCCCCCTGATGGAGTAGTTGATCCTTGAAAGGAAAGGAAGAAGACAAGCAAAGCAACTAAACAGAGTAACCTAGTGATAAGTTGATTTAGCAAGTGTTAAGTTAGTTACTAGTTGATCCGGTATCCACTGGAGTCATACCGTACGGTACGTACTATATGCATGTACTACGTACCTCGACCACGCCCGATGCAGCGGCTCCCTGACCAAAGGGAAGGCAGAAGATGATAACAGTCAGAGAATATTATATGATAATAATTTATATTAGTACGTACGTAGGTAGGTATCTAGTCTCTAGCCCGCCCATCTTTCCTCCCTTTTTGGTTTCCTTCTCTCTTGTCCCCTTCCCCCTATTTCATTGAGACAATGAGACATTGAGACGATTGATCTTTCTTTGTGATCAAGAACCAGACACCAGACAAGACAAGAGATACTGAACTGACCCTCCGGATCTCTGGTTATCTTCTCGTGATTGATCCTCGCTTATCCTTCTTCTTGTCTTATCCTCCCCACCCTCTTTCCTCCCTTTTTCTGGAGGGGAGCAAAAAGATACCTTAGTATCTATCTGTCACGATCGATAAAATAATTTACCTTTTCATTCACGGCTTACCAGTTATCACTTTTCCTCCCCCCTAAAAACCCCTCCTCCTCAGCTGATTGCTCCGGTGCACATCCATACTCCACTTTGGCCGCCCCCTCTCCCACCCCCATCCGTCACATACCACCCACTAGGCTAAATCAGTAGGTCCGTGGTGCTTGCATATTAGCTCCCCCCGGTCCTCTTTTTTCCCATCGCTATCCCCATCCCATCATCCATCCATCTTCTCCTTTTTTGGTGATACCTTCTACTTCATCTTGTCCTGTCCCTGTCCCCTCCTCAGCTTTGTCCCGGTGACAAGCTTTCCTCAACTGACTTCAAGGATACCCCCCTTTATTATCGCGTGTCCTTTCCTTCTCCAAGCCTTTTCCTCGACCCTCTTCCATCTTACATTGTTGTGGTGGGCGGCTTGTTGTGTCTGTTGTCTTCACATTTGTTGATTGTCTACCGTTGTAACTCACATATATCCTCTCAAGGTACCTTCCATTATCCTTGTTCTGGGTTGTTTCATGAGGTCTCGCCATATCCCAAGAGTTGCTTCTGACTTTGCAGCGCTTCACAGCTTCTTTTTATCCGAGTGCCTTGGCTAGCAAGATGTCGACTCTTGCTGTCCATACTACGAGTACTTGAGCGTTCCCTTTCAGAGTCCGCCTAGCTAGATATTCCCTGTCTTGTTGGGCGAAAGTATTTCCCGTTATGGAGAAGCTGAACAGTGAAGATGGTCAGCTTTTCATCAAGGTTGGTGTTCCCCTCCCCCTCTACATGGTTGCTACATCCCGATTTGGTTTGTTGTGCTGCGCACCTCAATGCCATTGTGCTCTAACATTTGCTTCCGCCATTAGAACCTCGCAAGTTTCGTACGAACTCATGAGAAGGCATTGGCGAACGCTCTGCAGCTGAAACGCCAACCTTCCAAAAATGTGCAAACCACACACTCTCAATCCGGCTCGGCCGCGAGCTCGGCTTCATCCACCCTGGCAGCTGCGCTTTCATTCGGTGCTTTAAAGTTCGCCTCGCAGAGCGTCAAACCTGCCAAACTCACTCTCACCCCTCATCATCTCTTCTATCTCCTCTCCTGCTTCGAAGAACTTTCCATTGCTGTGGGTCCCTTGAATGTTAGACTGGAAAACATCCATACAGACATCTCGCAGTCTTACGTCTCATTCTTGAATAAGCCCCAGCGATCCCGGGGGGATCGAGATTCGATCCACTCCGTATCCAGTGTCCGTAGTGTTATGTCTGGTATGAGTTCGCTTTGGTCCTCATTCGGCCTGGTATCCAAAGACCCCGTCTCCAGGTCAGAAAAGGCCAAAGCGGCTCTAGAGGCGGATACAAAGTACCTATACTCTGCCTTTACCAAGATTCCCTGTCTACGGCTAGCCCCTGACCGTCGTGCCCGTTTGATTCGCGGGTATGAAGAGTTCCCCTTTGACACTGCAGTGCCCCTCCACTCCTTCAAGAACTTGAGCGCTTTAGAGATTATCGATATAGACTTCCGATCCTTTTTCGGTTGGGACAGACTGTCAGAGCAATTGCGGACCTTGACGATCAAGCGGGCAAACATCGATGATCCCGCTGAGTTACTCACTGGGATCGTACTGGATGACATGGACAAACGACGCCGCCGATCAACCCGAAACCACAACAATGGGCCGATGATGGGCTGGAGCCAGCCTGTGTACCCTCGACCTGTCAACAACAGATCTCAAGCACCAGGGTCCCTTTCGGCGCCAGGATCGCCGGTCGCCGACACAGCTTTTGGAACCAGTACAAGTCCCCAGGCAGCCTCGATGGTTCGGATGGCGTCGGAAGGTTCGAAAAGCCGCCATCGAACTGGAAGTATCTCTCCTTCGCGCCCAGCGAGCTCAAAGCACTCGTCCTACCGCCATAACCGGGGAACTGCCTCTCGCATCCGACGCACCGGCTCCGGCAGCTCAAACTCAAGCGATACCTCGGGACACCGCAACGGAAGCTCCTCCAATCTACTGGCCGGGGTCCTCCCCGCTTCTAAATGGAGGTTCTTGCGACATCTTGGGCTTCCCGATAACTCCTTGACCAGCATCTCTGCTGCCGGCCTTGCGCCTGTCGCCAACACACTCCATTCGCTCGACATTTCGTCCAACCTGTTTACTGAAGTCCCCGATAGCTTGTCGACCCTTGTTGCTTTACGCGCCTTGAACCTATCGCATTGCATGATAGAATCTCTCCACTCGCTGTCCCGCAATCCTCTTCCCGCCATCACCGCCCTCAACCTTCGTGGCAACCGTCTTCGCTCTCTCGCGGGCATTGAGAGATTGCTCTCCTTGGAGCGGTTGGATCTTCGAGATAACAACCTCTCTGATCCCACAGAGATCGCCAGGCTCACAAATCTCCCTGAGATACGGGAGATCTGGGTGTCGGGTAATCCGTTTGTCAAGACGCATCCTAATTATCGCGTGATCATCTTCAATCTTTTCCGTCGTACACCCGGGTACTCGGAAGACATCATCGTCGATGGATCAGGGCCCGGGTACACGGAACGGAAACAGCTGGTGGAGCGTGCTGCGGAACCCGAAGCTGCACCTGTCATACGATCGGCTGCGGCTGATCTTTCAGCCGTGGTCAGCAAACCATCATCCAACACCGTCAACCAGGCAGCCCCGTTGCTTCACGAACAAGGGCGACCCACTGGTCGTGTGTCTCAGGGTGAAGTTGAGGTGGGGTCGACTCGTCGCAAAAAGGGAACCCGGCGGAGGATCATCGATCGGCCGCAGGAGACCCCCTCCACTGATGGTAATGATACTCCAGGTGCAGTGGTGCCTTCTACTCTTCCTGTTCACCATGTCCAATCACTTGAAGATCCGTTTATCTCGCCGTCTCTCGACCGTCAATGGAAATCTGATGGTGGACCCCAGGCCAGACCTCCCAGCCCTAAGAACTCCAGCAATGTCGACCATGAACAAACACAATCCATTGCTCAAAGCGAAGAGCGTCCTACACCTCAGCGAGCACCACAGAGCATAGGCTGGAGTATGGATGAGGATTTTTACCGACGGGAATTGGACGCTCTCCGGCAAGAACTGGGCAACACGTGGCTTGCGCAACTCGGTGACCGGGGCTGGAAACACAGTCCGACTGATGTTACGGTGCCACGCACAGGGACTGATTTTACCGAAACTACCAGAATGTCGGCCGATTCCCTGACCCGGGTGAGCCCACCGGTCATACTAAGTGGAGGACATGCTCTGAGTTGAAATAAGTCATGGTTCGAGCTTTAGGATTAGGCTGCCTCACGACTAGCGACTCGGATGACATGGGTCATAAACACAATGGCCCTTTTGGAGACGACAAAACTGAAATCGACTTCAAAAAAAAGCAGAAAAATCAAAAGCAAGGGAGACGAAAGAAAGAGCGAGAAGGGAAGACGAGGACGGAGCGCAGAACATCCATGACCTGACCGACGATACCAACCTCACTTGATTGAGACACGATATTCATCTCCGCGATACGGAAAAGTTACCTTGGCTTCGACAAAAGCAATTCTTCCATGACACTTACTTTCCGGTTCTTGAATATACTCGACATGTTGAATGCCGAATTTACCAATATGTGCGACTGGCAGCTGCTTGCTGAACTGCATAATCCATGGCGTTTTGAGATCATTTCCAGCTTTTAGGTCCACGGCGGGTCACGCCTGACCTGGTCCTTTACATCATTACCCATTTCGCCTCGCTCTCCCGCTCCTCTACCTTCTCCACGACTATACATTTTATGACGTGCATGAGACCTTTTTTTTTCGGCTGGTCCATTTCGAATGGAGGCGTGATGAAAGAACACTGCTTCCTACTTTTAGACAGCTTTGTATTGTATTTGGTGCTGGAGTCCCGGTGCGGCGTTACTAGCATTGTTTTGTTTCTGACTCGCCCAATGCTCTTTTGATGGCCGGTTTCGGTTTGACTTGCGATTGCTT